TCAGACAGGTAATACAGAAATTGATGTCTCCTTGACCAAGATTTGGGTGACCTAAGTCATGTACCCCAAGACCCTCATTGTAATATAGCCTACCCTCTCACTGTGATATTCGTTTTCTCGTTCATTGCTAACCAATCAGAGTTGATTACCACCCCTCAGGAACACCTCCTCTTCTAAGGGCATATAAATTGTAAGCCCACCACCATGAGGGGACTTTAGTCTGAGAGAGACGGCCAAATGACCATCCTTTTATTAAAAAACATGCTGGCCTTATTAACAACATGATTAAATTACCCAGAAATTACGTCTCAAACTTTTTTAAAAATGCCACACCTAGAATGTTCTCCCTCCTCATCTCTGCCTCCTGCTTCCCTGGCTTCCTTCAAGTCCCAGTTAAATCCAGTCTTCTGCAGGAAGTCTTTCCCATCCTCTCTTAATTCTAATGCTTTCCCTCCTGTATGTAACTTGTTTGTACATATTTGTTGGCTTATTGTCTCCCTTTTTGATTCTGACTTCCTCGAGGGTAGGAACTTCTTTTGCCTCTTTTTGTATCCCCAGTGCTTAGCACAGTGCTTGGCACATAGTAGGATCTTATAAATGTTTGTTGACTGACTATTGCCTGACTGACAATTCCCCTCATTTTACAGATAAGGAAGCTAAGGCCCGATGAAGTTAAGTGACTTGCTTAGGGTCACATAACTAGCAAGTGCCTGATGTGGGATATGAATCCAGGTCTTCTTGGCTCTAAATCCAGTAGCCTATCCATTACATCAAGTTGCTGTTAACATCTTGGTCAAAACTCAGAAACAGCAATTCCATACCTTTCTTGGAAAAATGAGTTTTAGTAAGTGTTTTTCTCATCTTTATATTTAAGAAATAATATGATGTTGCAATTATAAAAGGTGCTCATATGCCAAGATATATGGGCAACTAACAGAAATATATGCCCAAAAGCTACTTCCCGATAAATGTAGTTAAAGAACATGAACAGTTTTCAAAGGAAGAAATTGCAAACAACATGTGAAAGATTTGAATTACTAATAAGAGAAAAGAGAATCAAAATATCCCTGAGATTTTATCTCACATATAACAAATTGGCTAAGATGGCAAAAAAAATTAGTGCTGTTAGGACTATGGAAAGACAGGCACACTAATGCACCATTGATGGAGCTGTGAATTGGTCCAACCAGTCTGGAAAGCAATTGGAAATTATGTGGAGGAAGTGACTAAAATTTTCTTATACTTCTGATCCAGAGATTCCATTGCTAGGCATATAACCCAGGGGAGGTCAAGAATGAAAAAAGGCCCAAATATCCAAAATTTTTATAGCCTAATTTTCTGTAGTAGCAAAGAACTGGGAATGAAATAAAGGCGCATCAACTGGAGAATAGCTAAATGGGTTGTGGTACGTGGATGTAAAGGAATATTACTGTGCTGTAAGATCAACCAATCAATAAACATTTATTAAGTGCCTACTATGTGCCAGACACCATAAGCACTGGGGATACAAAGAGGCAGAAGACAGTCCCTGCCCTCCAGGAGTTTACAGTCAAATGGGTGAGACAACATGCAAATGAATATATACAAAGCAAGCTATGTACAAGATAAATAGGAAATAATTAACAGAGAGAAGGCACTAAAATTGAAAGAGGTTAGGAAAGGCTTCCAGTAAGAAACAATGAATATGAGAAATACAGAAAAGCCTGAGAAGACTTAGATGAACTGATAGAAAGTGAAGTTAGTGGAACCACGAAAACAATAAACACAATGACTACAGCAAGGTCAAGGAAAGAAATAAGAACAAAATAATGAAACAAATCTGTAAAATTATAATGGCCAAACTTGACCACAAAAAAAAAAAGGCTATGAAAAGGTACTGCCTCAGTTTCCTTGAAGAGGTGGTGGACTATGGGTGTGGACTACTATATATGTTGTCCTACTTTTCAATATGTTAATTTATTGAATTTTTCCCGCTTTTTTTTTATTCTTTGTTATACGGGATTGTTAAGGGGTTGGAGTGGGGAGGATACATGCACACATGGTTACATTGGGAAATGTAAATTATATAAATACAAGGATAGCAATAAGACTTTATTTTTAAAAACAAAGTATTCAGAATGCAGGCATGCCTCATTTGAAAAAACAATTTGGTATATGAAAATATGATTTATGAAACCGATAAATCATGGGGTTTGTTTCACATTCCAAAGGACTTTAAAATTTTTTTTTATTAATTTATTTTGATTTATCAACAATCACTTCCATAAGCTTTTGAGTTTAAAATTTTTCTCTCCCTCCCTTCTCTCTTCCCTTCCCAAGATGGCACACAATCTGTTACAGGCTTCCAAAGGACTTTTGAATATTACCAAAACTGTTTGTTCATGTTCTTCGACCACATTTATTGGGAAGTAGGTTTTGGTCATATATGTCTGTTAGTTGCCTAAAAGCTGAATTTTTATTTGTCAAATACACCAGTTTTTTCTTAATCCTCATCCTCTTTGATCTCTCCATAACATTTGATAGTGTTGATCAGCCCCTCCTTATGAATATTTTCTCCTCCCTTGCATTCTGTGATTTTTCTTCTGTTCTTTTCCTGATAGTAATAGTTGACATTTATATAATACTTATAAAGTTTTTGATTCTCACAATTCTGTGAACTTATGCCTAGAATGTTTTCCTCCCTCACCTCTGTCTCTTAGAATCTCTGATTTCCATCAAAATTTTCAGCTCAACCACTTTTGTCTACACAAAGCCTTCCTTGGTCCCCTTGGCTGCTATAACCTCCCATACCTCCCCAGACCTCACTCCAGCCAAAGCTACCTTCTTGGATCTTCCTTATATGTGTTTCGTATATGCCTGCATGAAAGTGAATTAATGAAAAATTATTTAAGTGCTTACTACATGCCAAGCACTGAGGATATAAATAGAAAAAAAAAATGAGACAGTCTTTTGTTTCTAGAAGCTCACGTTCTAATTGAGAGATACAATATATGTAGAAGGGTTCAGCTGTATAGCAGAAGGAAACGTTCTATGGCCTTAGGATAACCAACAAGTCAAATGGTGATGCCCAGGGATCTGAAGGATGTAGTGGTAGGTAGAGCCAATGGTAAGGCCCAGTGAGCCTTACTCTAGACCGTAAGTATATCTATATAGTAAGGTTCACTGAGATATATATGTGTGTGCATGTAGTTTTTTTCAATTAGAATGTAAACTCCTTGTGGGCAGGAATTATTTTGGTTTTTATCTTTGTATACCCAGCATTTAACATACTTCTTAGCACTTACTATGTGTTTAATGAAGGCTTGTTGATTGAGAGACTTAAGTAGGAAAAAAATCTCTTTCCACCCCTATTACACCTCAGTGGAAAGAGATTTTTTCCCCCCTGTGCTCCTTAGGCTGCTCAGAAACCACAGAACCTCTGAGCTGGAGGCACCATCAAAGGTCAACTACTCCAACCCGTCACAGAAAAAGAGGTTCCTTCACAAGGTGCCTGCGGACCTCCACTTCTACACCTCACCCATTTTACATATGAGGAAGCTGAGGCCCACAACAGTAAAAGGAACCTCACAAATTCTCACATCTAGCTAACTAGTGGTACCATGTCCAGGAGTCTTACCAGCATACTGCAAATGGGTTGAATACACGATGAAAAGAGGAAAATCTGATCATTACACAGATCAAGTTCAAAAATCTTTTCCACTCAGCCACAAAGCTATGGTGAATTCCCACAGCTATAAGATGGCTTCAGTTTACAATAGGAGAACCACATAATCTGATGAAGCTAATCAGATAAGAGAGGATGAGCTCAGTATAGCAAGGACACTAAGAGATCATTGGACATCAAAATCGGCCTACCTGCTTCATGGCACTAAGGGAATTTCCCATGGATTAAGCTTGAACAGATTAAAACTGCCCGGAGATTTTTGGGACACCCTGTATATATCACATGGAAGACATATGACATATATATTGACTAATTTATTAAATGAAGGTATGCATAAAATCACCTTAGTGACAAGCAGTGGCTAGGCTGGTTTTGACATCCGGTAATCTTATAGTGTCCTTGCCTTGCTACATTCATCCTTTTTTTTTTTTTTAATCCAATCAGTTTAATCAGGCTAAATGCAGTTTTAAGCAATTAAAGTTTTTTGGACCCTCTGTATACAGAGATATATCATTTGATAAATCAGGCAACATAGATGTTGCCTTATAGACGTATTATAGATGATATATACACATTGTCTCAAAAGTCTTAGTGCATTTTAAAGCTTTAATAGTGTGTGTGTGTTTGTGTGTGTGTGTGTGTGTAAATATGAGAGGGAGAGGGAAAATGAAAGAGAGAAAAAGAAAAATGAGAAAGAAAAAGGTGAGAGAAAAAAGAGAGGAGAGGGAGTGGGAGAATGAGAGAGAAAAGAAACTTGAGAAAGAATGAGAAAGGAAGAATAAGAAAGAGAGAGGAGAGGGAGAGGGAGAAAAAGAGAGAATGGGAGACAGACAGAAAGAGACAGATGGACAGAGAGAACACAATGCTAACTAGGCACCAGCTGGCTAAGGCCACTGTTACTGGAGACCTGTACCAATTTTACTTCTCTACCTGACATCATGCTTTGCATAGGGTTCATTGCTCTGGGGTTGGCTGTCTTTTCAATCAGAGGATTAGGCTACCCAGTGCTTCATTCTGTCCCCCATCTCAGATTCCCTGGAAAAGTTACTACTTATAGAATCGCTAATTATAGAAATTGTTATGGGTTCTAAGTCTAGGGTTTTCCCCAGCAAGAAAAGAAAGTAAAAACGTGCTCAGAATATAAAGTAAATCAGGTTTGGAGCAGACAATTTATCTCCACACAGAAAAGGGGATTCGAAGCAACAGAGACTCCCAGAATGATCAGAACAGAATCTAGTCACTTACTACTCCCCATATAAGTTGGGAGGCTGAGTCGCCTGACGGGGACAGTTTCTTTGCAAGAATGATAAGAGTTGCTTGACATTTCACTGCCACTTTATTCCCCTGAATCTTTCCTCCCCAGCTCACTTTCTCTCTGACGGTGATTCTTTGCTGGCCACATTTGCCTTCCCACTCTGGTGGCCACTGCTGGTTCTCGGCACAACAGGCAGATTTGTAGACCTTTCAGTCCTCACAAGGTCAATGCTAAAGAAAGGAAACACATGAGAGGAGCTGAAGTAGCCAGGAGCCTAACTGGGTAAGTCTAAAGTCCATAGAGGGGATTAAATTACTTGTCCAGTCAACTAACATTTATTAAGCACTTACTGTATGTGGAACACTGTGCAAAGGACTGAGAGAAACACAAAGCCTAAAGGTAGCACAAGGCCAGATTAACTACAGAACAAAGTGCTGCGTGAGGGCAACGGATGAAGGTTGTTACCAGAAAAGACTGTGAGTAACATTTATTAAGCCTGTTTACCAAGTTGTTGTTCAGTCGGGTCTGACTCTTCATGACCCCATTTAGGATTCTCTTGGCAGAGATCCTGGAGTGGTTTTTACCATTTCCTTCTCCAGTTCATTTTATAAATGAAGAAACTGAGGCAAACAGGGTTAAGTGACTTGCCCAGGGTCCCACAGCTAGTGAGTGTCTGAAGCCAGATTTGAACTCAGGAAGATGAGTCTTCCTGACTCCAGGTCCAGTATTCAATCCACTGTGCCACCTACCTGCCTTTTTGTTTACCAACTACTGGGGATATAAAGAAAGGCAAGAAATCACTCCTGTTCTCAGGGAGTTAACAATCTAACAGGAGAGACAACATGTAAACAATGATATACAAATAAGCTGTAGACAGGATAAATTGGAGATTATTTCAGAGGGAAGGCGCTATGGTGAAGGAGGACTGGAAAAGACTTCTTGCAGAAGGTGAGAGTTTAGCTGAGATTTGAAAGAAGCCAGGAGTCACAGATAAGGAGAGACAGCATTCCTGACTTGGGAACAGCCAATGAAAATGCTCAGAGTCTGGAGATGGACTGTCTTGTGGGAAGAATCGCAAAGAGGCTGGTATTTGTCATTGAATGGCAGAATAGAGCAAGGGGAGTAAAGTAAGAAGACTGGAAAGCCAGAGGATTTTATGATTGATCCTAGAGGCAACAGGGAGCCCCCAGAGGTTAGGAGAGAACGCTCCATTTGGAGACATAGCATTGAATGAGGGCTTTAAAGGAATTTAACAGGGAGAGATATAGGATAGTGGGATATTCTAGGAAATTGCTCAAGCAAGACATGGATATGGACAAGTACAGGCCATGTTCAGAGGCCAGAGAACCATCCAGTTTGGCTGGAACATAGAATTTGTAGAAGTAGGTTATATGAGAGATGACTGGAAAGGCCGGTAGTGCAAGATGTGATAGCGTCTTAGAGGCAAAGGAATTTGAATCATACATGGCAGCCAATAATATGCCTTGGAAGATTTCTGGGCAGAGGAATGCCACGACCAGGGCAACAGATAAGAAAGATGACTTTGATAGGAAGAATGGATTGAATCCCTGCGCTTGGCTCATTCTAATTTATATTAGAGTCATTTGTGCACATGTCTCATTTTCCCTACTCACCTGTAAGGTCTTTTAGGGTACAGGCTTATATGTTTTCTTTATAATGTCCTCAGCACCTAATACAGTGCTTTGCCCCACAGCAGGACTCACTCCAAAAATTTTGCCCCACAGCAGGACTCACTCCAAAAATATCTGAATTAAGGATGATTCCCTGAAGGGCCATCTTCCCTAGTGCAAGCAAGATAGAATTCTTATTACAGAAGTTTGATCTACATACAGCTTTCCAAAAATACATACATGCATATATACACATATACATACATAAACATATACACCTATGCACATACACTCACACATACACATGTACGCACGCACACACACACACACACACACACACACACTGGATTTAAGGCTCTGTCACTAACTAGATGTATGACTTTGGCCAAGTTCCTCTTCGGGATTCAATTTTCTCATCTGAAAAATGATGGGATTAGTCTAAATCACTGGTTCACAAACTGTTGGTTTCAGGAGCCCTTAAAACTATTAAGGAGGGGCAGTTAGGTGGTGCAGTGGATAGAGCACTGGCTCTCAAGTCAGGAGGACCTGGGTTCAAATCCAGCCTCAGACCAAACACTTGACACTAGCTGTGTGACCCTGGGCAAGTCACTTAACCTCAATTGCCAAATTAAAAAAAATCTATTAAGGACTTCAAAGAGCTTTTGTTTTTGTGAGTTATAGCTATCAATACTTGCCATATTAGAAATACAAACTGATCAATTTTTAAAATATTGATTTATTAATTCCACAAAACAACCACAATAAACTCATTACATGTTAACATAAATAATGTATTTTCATGAAAAATAACTATTTTTCTAAGTCACTAATAATTTAGTGAGAAGAGTAGTGTTGTTTTACATATTTTGTCAAATCTCTTTAATTTCTGACTTAATACAAGACATCTGGATTTTCTCGTCTGCTTCTGTATTCAATCTGTTGTGATAAGTTATTTGGGTTGAAGCAGATGAAGAAAACCTAGCCTTAGAGAGATGTGCAGTTGGTAAAGGAGGGAGTATATAGGCAAATAATGTTTTCATTACATTATGAAAATTTTTCACCTTGCTGATTCCCTGAAAGGGTCTCAGGGACCACAGACCACTTTGAGAACTCCTACTGAAGAATATACCAGGAGAATATGAGCAATGAACTCTGACAGTGAGGACCCCAGAGGTCAGAGGACCACACTCTGAGAACACTAGCTTAGATTACAGGAGTTGCTCTAAAAGAGAATTGCTTATTATCACATTCAGTTACTTAGGTTCATGTTCATATAGCGCGTCTGCCTGTTAACCATAATCACAAGGTTGTCTGAATTGATGCCCTTTGACTGATTGTCCCTGTCATTCCTACTTACCAGGAAAGGCTGGACTTCATTAGCTTGTGCAGATGGTATTGTGTGCTCTGCTATTTCCTAGGAGGAGCTCTGTGCAATGTTTTCCCAGAACAGAAGCTGTCCTAGAGGCACAAGGTCTTAACCTAAGAAATGATTAACCTTCCCAACAGAACTGCAATCAGATATCACTGAAGCTTGGTGAGCTGTGGCTTCTAACTAGAACACAGTTACAGGGTGTCCTATGAAACTTAGTGGCCATATTAAACTAGTAAAGATTTAATAGCTTAACACAGCACTAAGTTTCTTGGGACACCTAGGATTTAAGAGACAGCTACCTGGTGCAGGAAATGGAGTGCCAGGCCTAGAGTCAGGAAGACTCCTCTTCCTGAGTTCAAATCTGGTCTCAGACATTTACTAGCTGTGTGACCCTGGGCGAGTCACTTAACCCTGTTTGCCTCACCTTCCTCATCTACAAAATGAGCTGGAGAAGGAAATGACAAACCCCTCCAGTGTTTTTGCCAAGAAAACCCCAAATAGGGACACAAATCATCAGACACAATTGAACAAAAAACACTTGTTAAGCATCTAATAAGTGCCAGACACTGTACTAAGTGCTGGAGATACAAAAAAGAAGCCAAAGATAGTCCCTGCCCTCAAGAAGCTTACAATATTTTTAAAATTTTTATTTATTTTATTCTGAACTTAAGAAATAAAACACATATTTCCATAACATAGTATTATATGTGAAACTGCAAATCTATTATGTACAACTTGCTATTCCTTTTAAATATATAATAAAATTGTCATGTAACTCTATTTTTTTCCTATTTTTCTTCCCTCTCCTCCCCTTCCCTAGAGAGGGCTACCATTAGACACACACACACACACACACACACACGTGTGTGTGTGTGTGTGTGTGTGTAAAATTGTTCTGTATATACTTTTATTTATCAGTTCTTCCTCTGGATGCAGATAACATCTTCCTTCATATGTCCTTTGTAGCTAATGTGGGTACTTATAATAGTCAAAATGACTTAGTCACTTGAAGTTGTTACTAAAACAATATTGTTGTTACTGCATACAACGTTCTCCTGATTCTGCTCATTTTGCTCTTCATTATTTCATGCAAGCCTATCCACGTTTTTCTAAGATCATCAAGTTCATCATTTCTTTTCTTGCCTTTTTTTTTTTTTTGGCTGGGTAATGAGGTTAAGTGACTCGCCCAGGGTCGCACAGCTAGTAAGTGTTATGTGTATGAGGCCACATTTGAACTCAAGTCCTCCTGAATCCAGGGCTAGTGCTCTATCCACTGTGCCTCCTAGCTGCCCCCAAGTTCATAATTTCTTACAGCATAGTGGTATTCCTTCACATCAGGGAGCTTACAATCTAATGGATATACTTTGAAACCTTATTGGAAAGGAATAGATGAGACCAAAGGAGCAGTGAAGTATTACTATACATCTGTTCCTAAGCAAAGGAAGAAACCCTGGATTGGGCGGGGTGGGGGCACGGGGTATTGTTTCTTTGTTTTGCCATGAGGAGGCAGCATGGTCTGGTGCAAAAGGCACTGGCCCTAGAGCCAGAGGTTGTGGGCTCAAATGCTACCTCTGCTATTTACTGCATATGTGATATTTGCCTCCTGCATCCCTCAGTTTCCTCACGGAAAAATAGAAGGTTTGAAGTAGATACCATTTGATGCCCCTTCTGGCTCTAAATCTAAGATGCCAAGATATATATATACTCCTATGTAGAAATACACAAAGAGAAAGGGTGGGAGAGAGCCCCAGAAAGTGATGAGAGGAGTCTTGGCTCTGGAGTTAGAGGTGACATGTTAGAGGTGACTCTGTGCAAGTCATCTAACCTCCTTGGGCCAAGTCCTGAGACAAACTCCCCAAAAAACTTCATTTCTAAAATGAGAGAATTGAACTAGATGGCCCCAGAGGTCCCTTCTCTGTGCTCCTGTAATCAGAGGCAAGAGAAAGAGAAGTGATATCAAGGTGGAAATACATTACCAAATGATCAACCGGACATAGTGAAGGAGTTCTAGATGCAGGTCGAGAAGCCGGTACAGATACAGAAATAGAGATGCGAAGGGAGTCACTGCCTCTGCAGACAACTTCCAGAGTGCTCTCAGAGCTCGCTCTCTCTCTCTCTCTCTCTCTCTCTCTCTCTCTCTCTCTCTCTCTCTCTCTCTCCCCCTCCCTCCCTCCCTCCCTCCCCTCAAAGCATTTGTTGTTGTTTTTCAGTCATTTTCAGTCATATCTGACTCTTCGTGACCCCATTTGCGTTTTTCTTGGCAAAGATACTGGAGTAGTTTGCCATTTCCTCCTCTAGCTCATTTTTTACAGATGGGGAAACTGAAGCAAACGGTTATGTGACTTGCAGAGCAGTGGGCAAATTCTTGACTTTCCTTTCTGGTCATTTCATCCTTCAGAAGGTAGAAGTGCTTATGTAAACCCAAAACATATTTCGAAGAGTTCCTCAAAAGGATAAATAGGATCTAGCTCCTTCAGGGACATCAGTAAGAGGGACAAAGTTTTTGTTGTTATTTGTCCTTCATCCCTTCCAAATTGATTGATTTTTAACTAGGTAAAGAGGCCATTCTCTGCCTCATTTCTTACCTAACCTTAATCACAGTAATAGGGAGGTGTTGTTTTCAAGAATGAAATTCTAACTACACAAATACAAATGATTATAATGGGGAAGAAAGGATGGGGGGGATTAACTAGGGGAAAAGGGGAAGTACCTATATGTCCTAAAATGTTTATAGCAGCTCTCTTTGTGGTAGCAAAGAACTGGAAATTGCAGGAATGCCTTCAAACTGGAAAATGGTTGAACAAGTTGTGGTATATGATTGTGATAGAATACTTCTGTGCTATAAGAATGATGAGCACAATGATCATAGAAAAACATGAACAGATTTGCATGAAATAATGAAGAGTGAAATAAGCCGAACTAAGAGAACTTTGTATACAGTACTAGCAATATTGTTTTAAGAACCACTTTGAGTGACTACGTCATTTTGACTATTATAAATACCCAAAGTAATGACAAAGTGAAGGAAGACGTTATCTGCATCCAGAGAATGAACTGATAAATAGAAGTATGCATAGAATGATTTTACGTGTGTGTGTGTGTGTGTGTGTGTGCGCGCGCACGTGATGGTAACTATCTCTAGGACAGGGGGAGGGAGGGAAGAAAAAAATTAAAAAAAAAAAGAATTTACCTATTACATATTTAAAAGGAATAGCATGTTGTACATAGCAGATTTGCAATTTCATGTGCAATCATCTTTTTTATTATACTGTTATAGAAATGTTTTATTCCATAAATTAAAAATAAAATAAATAAATTTTTTTTAAAAGACCACACTGTTGAAATGACTGAACAACAACAAAAACCAATGTCCCAAGAAGTCACTGACTGCTTTGGGTTTTAGAAATTCAAACAGGGGGCAGCTAGATAGTGCAGTGGATAGAGCACTGGCCCTGGAGTCAGGAGGACCTGAGTCCAAATTTGGCCTCAGACACATGATATTCAGCCGTGTGACCTTGGGCAAGTCACTTAACTCCAATTGCCTTGCCCAAAAAAAAGAAAGAAAGAAAGAAAGAAAGAAAGAAAGAAAGAAAGAAAGAAATTCAAGCTGCACTGTACAGTGGAAGGGGAGTGAGATTTGAAATCAGAGGGACCTGGATTTCAATCCTGATTCTTCTACCCCTAATTATTGGTATATGACCCTGGCCAAGTCCCTTTACCACTGCCCTAGTCAGGCCAGATCTATTCAGTTTTTCATATCACATTTTAGGAAAGACATTTACAAGCTGGAGTGTGTCCAGAGAAAGCTAGCAGGACAGTATTCAAAACCATACTGTGTGAGAATTAGTTGAAGGCAGTTAGGCGGCCCCATGGATAGAGTGCTGGAATCAGGGAGCTGATGTTTTTTTCGGTCGTGCTGACTGTTTGTGACCCCATTTGGAGTTTTTTTGGCAAAGATACTGGAGTGGTTTGCCAGGGATAACTGACTTCAGATTTGGCTTTGGACACTTACTAGCTCTGTGACCCTGGGCCAATTGCTTCACCTTACAAGGTCTCAGCTTCCTCATATGTAAAATGGGATTAATAATAGCACCTGCCTCCAAAGGACTGTTGAGAGGATTGAAGGTGATGATGTATTTATAGTGCTCTGCAAACCTTAAAGTGTTATATAAATGTTTTTGTTGTTTAGTCATTTTTCCAGTTGTGTCCTACTCTTCATGACCTCATGTGGGTTTTTCTTGGCAGAGATACTGGAGTGGTTTGCCATTTCCTTTTTCAGCTCATTTTACAGATGAGGAAACTGAGGTAAACAGGGTGAAATGACTCTCCCAGGGTCACACAGTAAGTGTCTGAGGCCAGATTTAAACTCAGGAAGATGAGTCTTCCTGACTCCAGGCCCTGCACTCTAACCACTGCACCACCTAGCTGCCCTTATACGAACGCTAGCTATTATTAAATCAAAAGTATGCAATTTTGTTGTCATGACCTTCAATCAGCGTGTTAGTAATTCCTTTTTTGCTTTAGTAGATTATCCCCCTGAGCTTCTGTAGACCCAAAAATCCATTGTCACCTACACACCTTTTTATCATGGGTAGCCACCTTTCTGGCAATGAGCCACTTCAGATTTAGTAGGCTGATTGATCCACGGGTAGCAAGCGTGCAGTCCTTGCATCTGGCCTGAAATCTCCTAAGCCTGTTTTTTTGTCCACCTTTTGTCCCACCCTACTGTCCCCCTCAGCCTCACCTGTGCTGGTTTCTCATCTCTCCCTTCAAGTTTAACCCTGTAGTTTTCCATTTGAACAAGTCCCTCTTCTCCAGCCTTGAATTCTTGCTTTTTTAACCTTCTTCCATTCATGCCCGGCTAACCCTCAGACCAGGTCACCCCCACCATTTTCATTCTTCCCCTCCTTTTCCTGAGCCAGCCAAATACTGCTGAAGAAAGGCAGGAAACTGGGGCAGCTAGGTGGCGCAGCGGATACAGCATCAACCCTGGATTCAGGAGGACCTGAGTTCAAATCCAGCCTCACACAGATAAC